GCATAATTCTGTCTCTAGTTCTAATACTGACTCCTAGTCATTTTTTTCAACAGCCATAAATATTAATGTGTGCCCAGTCGACCATGTAAAACATGTTCCTGTTAAATAAAGTGTTGACTTGTTTTTATGTCTGTTCTCAGTCCAAACAAAGTGCAGTCCTGTCAGTTAGATTTACTTGTTGTATCTCAGCAACATCACATGTCCAAACATCATGTGAAGTCCGATTAATTTCTGTTTTCAGGGATCCCGGTCCTGTGTGGCATGTTAACGGACCGGCTGAACGAGGATGGTGAAACACCAAGCCTTCCAGGTCTATGAGAAGCAGGTGTTTCTCTCTGTTGTCACCGGCATCTATGGTTGCCGCTGGAAACGCTATCAGCGTTCCCAAGACAACAGCTCCAAGGTAAGATGAGATAACACCAAGTAACAAGATTTCTCTTTTGACTGGTACCTGATTTAAAACAGGGCCTTAAAGTGGACAAACTGTATTATGCTTTTAAATGTTGCCTTGTCACAATAAACTCATTCAATGGGAGTCTTTATAAAGTTAAGACCTAATTATAAAGATTAGTTATGTAGTTATAAAGCCTAATTAGTAGGCCTCTGAAGACCTTGATGGCATACTGAGGAGGCCTACTAATTAAGCACTCCTTAGGTTCAGCTGTGTTGAACCAGAGCAGCACCTAAAACATGCAGGACACCGGCACTCTAAGACTGACCTTGGACACCACTGCCTTATGGGGACAAAAGACYGGTCCTAATATGGTGGAACTCCATTTTTGGGTTGGGGGTTAGGGTTAGGACAAARGTAMTAATTGAGTTTAGGTTAGGTTTAGGGTAAGGGATCAAAGTTAGGCTGCAGAAACGACTGGAAATAAATGAAAGTCAATGAGCAGTCCTAATAAGGATAGAAATACAAACTAGTGTGTGTTCTCACTGAACTCTGAGTATTTGTACCCACCCAGCGAGTCATGCAGTTGCATTTTGATTGGCCAGTATTTGAAATCATGGCTTCTTGTGCACAAGGCATGTAAAACWGTTCTTGGTTGTGCACATTTGTTTCCCACATCAGACACACCTCGACCCTCTTAGTGTTAGATTTTTTTATTCATTGTTTCATATAAAGAAATCACTTTTTGAAAACTGAATAGTGAACAAAGTCTGGAAACACTAATGTTTCAATACTTATCTGGACCAGGGAAAACTCTAATCTTTTAAGACTGCAAAGATTATGTTAGTAAAGTGTTGTAACAAAGACTAGCTGAACTCATGAACCAATGTTTTAAATATATTTTAGCCAACACTGTGTGTGCGTAATGAAAACCTCGATAAACTTTTATTTTTAATAAAATGCAATACTGGCTTTGGCATTTATTTTCTCAACAAATGAGGACATTTTTGTTCTTACCCCAGCCCAGAACCCCCAGCCCATCAATCATGGTGGTGTGGGAGTCTGTGCCCACCAGGCTGTCAGGATAAAAGAAACCTTCGTGGTTAAACACCACCCGGGCCAAATACTCCAGGTTAACCTGGTGAACGATTCCTGAACCAGGAGGAATGATCCGCATGTTCTTGAAGGCTTTAGAGCCCCACTAGAAAGAAAAATGATTATTCATTTAAAGACATTCAAATCTAATTTAAACTACACTAACATAAAGAAATACGACTATTTAAATTTACCTTTAAAAACTGGAATCTTTCTTTATTGCGCTCAAACTCTAAGTCCTGGTTTTTCTGAAGACTGTCAGACCTGTTGGAGCGAAGTATGACATCATTAGTCCATGAGCTGAGGGTGGGGAGGGTCTGATGAACCCGCTCTTACTTCCTGTTGAAGTCCACTTGGATGGAATGATCAATGACCAGGTCAGCAGGGCAGACGGGGTTTATCTTTTCTGGGTCGCCGCCTAGTTTCATCACAGCATCACGCATGGCAGCAAAGTCCACCACAGCAGGAACACCACTGCCAAGTTCAGACACACCGTTGGGTCAGAGAGAAACCACAAAACCCATCAAGACCTCACCTTCCAGAAAGATTATTATCACATAACAGAACCATTTGTGTGCAAACTAAAGTCTTAAAGCACTTCATATAAGAACAAACAACTCATGAACTGAAACATGAATTWAAAAAAATACATCTGGTTTAGGTGGAAGGGGAGCAGTAGAAACTCTGGTTTCCTTAAATAAATCTGTCATTGAGGGATAACCTGCCCCAACAAGGGTATTCCAGGAATATTTACATATTTAAATGTCAGTTGCCTACATCTGTGTTTGGTAATGAGGCTACAACAATGTCTGTCATTAATGGACCACTTATGCTCAAGTTTGAGTTCTGAGGCAAACAAAAATAAAACAGTACTCAAGGGATTTCCATCTACAGAATACCTAAATTACAATCTGAAGAACTGTCCTGTTTAAGTTACATTTATATTCTCCAGCCACTTTATTATCAACACTTTGCTGAACTCTAATTATTCCTGTTATAAATTCAACAAGTTGTTGAAAACAATCCTTAAATATTCTGGTCCACATTGACATGTTATCATCACACAGATGTACTTGATACAGTTGATACAGTGTTTTCCAGCTTTCGCTTTGTTTTACCGTAACTTTAAAATCTAAGATAAGGTCAGTGTCATCAGAAAAATTCTACTGGTTTCTGAAAGCCCCTGAGTCTTAGCTGGAGTTCAGTAAATCCAGACTCATCAGAGCAGGAAATGGTTTTCTAATCTCTGATTGTCTAAGGCACAGGTGCCCAAAGTGGGGCCTGTGGGCCAAATTTGGCCATCAAGTCWTTTGATTTGGCCCACCACTTTCACACATGGTGCTGACTTTATCTTTGAATTATATTATCTTAAGATTAAACATGTAATATAAGTGACTGCAAGAGACATTTAGATTAGATTCAAGCACGTGTAGATTTTCACACTTTATAAGACCACAAAGACTCATATTTGATCAGTTTACAAAATGTCAAAAGAGCTTTTCCTGCCCAAATGTACGTTAAACTTTCTCCAAGTGCAYGGGCTAAAAACAAACAAAAAACAATGGTCGTGCACTGGCTGCTAGCTTAATCATTAAAAGTATTTGTACGTATTTCATATATTGAGGAAAAGCTTTGGGCACCCCTGGTCTAAGGTGTTGATTTTGTGTGAACTTTAGGTTTAGGTTTTACTGGACTCAGGAGAAGAGCTGTGTATTGGCAAGAATTTGGTGATATGATACATATCATGAATGGGGTCACAATATTATATATCATGATATATTGCGATACTGTAAGCAAGGTGATATATTGCCATTTTTTTCTCCAAAAATTCTTATTTTAAAAAACTCAGTATGTTTTATATGTATTTTATTAGTTTCATATTTCTTACATCCATGTTTTCAATATTTAGGTTAAATGTGCCAATAAATAGTTTGAGAATATATTTGTGGCAGCTTGTAGATTTATAATATTAGTTTATTATAAAATATAGTTACTCACCACAATAAGCAGGGTGAGATATTGCCATTTTTTTCTCCAAAAATTCTTATTTTAAAAAACTCAGTATGTTTTATATGTATTTTATTAGTTTCATATTTCTTACATCCATGTTT